TTTCTTTCTTTCGGATATTAGTTTATATATCTTATATATCTTTCTTTTCTTTCTTTCCATTCCTTTATCATCTTTCTTTCTTTCTTTCTTTCTTTCTTTCTTTCTTTCTTTCTTTCCGGATATTAGTTTATATATCTTATATATCTTTCTTTCTTTCCATTCCTTTATCATCTTTCTTTCTTTCTTTCTTTCTTTCTTTCTTTCTTTCTTTCTTTCTTTCTGGATATTAGTTTATATATCTTATATATCTTTCTTTCTTTCCTTTCCTTTATCATCTTTCTTTCTTTCTTTCTTTCCGGATATTAGTTTATATATCTTATATTTCTTTCTTTCTTTCTTTCTTTCTTTCTTTCTTTCTTTCTTTCTTTCTAGTTTATATATCTTAAATATCTTATCTTTCTTGCTTTCCTTTCCTTTATCATTTTTTCTTTCTGTCTTTCTTTTTTTCTTTCTTTCTTCCTTTCATAACGTTCCCTTTTATTATATGCTTTTCTACTTGCTTCCCTTCTTTCTTGTTTCACGTCGTGAAACGTGCATCCATTCTCTTTTTTCTTTCTTTCTTTCTTTCTTTCTTTCTTTCTTTCTTTCTTGCTTGCTTCTGTTCTTTCAGTATATTCCCCTTTATTGATCTCTCTCTTTTCTCCTTATTTTCTTTTATATTTCAGTCGATTTTTGTTTATTGTTTCTTTCTTTCTTTCTTTCTTTCTTTTTTCTTTCTTTTTTTCTACTTCCATGCTTCATTCGTCCTCATTTACTTTTCACTTTTCTTCCCGATATTATTCCTTTTCTTTCCAGTCGTATTCCTTCTCCTGTTTCACACTCGTCTTTCTATGTTCATTTTCCATTTTTTGTTGTTGTTATTGTTGTTGTTGTCTTATTTCATTCCGTTGTCTTATATTCTTGTCTCTTTGTTTTCTTTATCCCGTTTGTATTGATGACTCTCTATACTTTTCCATTTTTGTTAAATAAGAGGAGATTTTCCTTTGGTATTTGTCAAGTTCAGCTGTCGAAAGCCGTTTCGAAACGAGAACATTTTAAAACCATCTTTAAACCCGCACAAATGCACCGATCAACACAGAAGCCTTCAGCTCTCATGTCGAACTAAATCATTTACACACAAAGCCACACAGACAAACAAATGCACTCACACATACACACATGCGCGTGTGCAGGCACACGCATTCAGACAGGAAGCGATCAGAGACGTGAAGAATAAACACGTTGTACACATTGTAGATATTTAAACAAGAGTAGATGTATATATATTTTTTCTTTTTTAGAAAGCTACCATTATTTCATAATTTATTCGACTTTCGAAGACAATGATTTGAGCAGTTTATTAGAGTTCGACAAAGGTCAAATACTTACGGTTGAAATTTATGCAAACCAAGAAATAGATAAATATTAAAATTCCGGTATAGTTAAAAAGAAATATGTTTTGTGGCAGTAACTTTTTTACGTTAATTGATTTGACTTGGATAATTGAATGAAAATATACTCTGTTTCACTATGACAGATTGGGGATCTACCGGATATGCTCGCCTATAGATCGGGTTTGGGAGACTAAATCACATGCAGAATTTCAATCATAGTTTATTATATATATATATATATAATAAACCGTTGTATTTGCCCTTTCCGGCAGGAACAGAACCCGCGTCTCTCAAGGCACATTCGTGCAGACTTCGAGTTTTGGATACAAAATGCAAATGACTATTTATACGTGAGTACTAAGTTCTTTTTTTTTTCCAAAATTCTACATCGGACAAGAAAATATATTCATCAGTTAGAAAATCAAAATGAGAGTAATACTCGTTCAGATTTCTATATAAATATCATAGAAACTATATATATTAAGTCCTTTCAGACCTCCCTATTTAAGTAGAAGTGATAGTTTGTAGGTTTGAATCTTGCCAGTCTTTGATGATTATATATTTAATATGCATTGCTCGATAGAGCTCTGACGAGAGAGGAGTAATAAACCATTGAAACTTTTGTTTAATTTTAGTCTTTTTTGTTTTTGAATTACCACTCTATGGGAGCTATAAAATGGTCCGATATTTCTTGTAATTTGGGATTTTAATATGTCCGTGTTTTATGGCGAATGTAAATAAAAAATGCTAAAAAAGAAAACTTAACCTTAAAACAATCTTTTATTGTAAATGATTAAAAAAATACGTGAATGGAAATGTATTTTATTTTTTAGAGTTCACAACCAACATATATACCCGTGTATAAATCTGGCTTTTAAAATCGGATAACAGTTCAAAATTGTAGTTGAGTTTGACTTATACACGGGTAATAGTTCGTTGACTTAACTGAGCAGAATTGAGAATGGAGGGTGTGTAAATAAGGAATTATTTAGACGATCAATTCGTTTGAAGCACTAATATTGTGATTTTCTAAGACCGGCTTAGATGTGGCACAACGTCGAAAGTATAGAGCAGCCAGTAAGGATCGAACTCACTACTCAGTCGTAATTGATCTAGAAAACTTTCTAACCATTACCCAACGTTGAGGCCCATTGGTGCACTATATATATATATATTCTCGCAAGATGTAACAGTAAGAGATAGATCAAGTATCGACCATCATAAAGACTGAAAAATAAAATTGACAAAGATTATTGTTTAAGGTTGACGGACACGCATATCATAATTAGTTTTTTTTTTTTTTTTTTTGTTTTGTTTTTTTACGAATTGGTCAAACCCAAACTCAAGCAAAAACATTGTTTTCAATCGTTATGAGTCTACCGATTGAATAGATTTTTATTATAAACAATTGTCTTGTAAATGGAATTTTTAAAGCATTCTGAATGTAAAAATAAAGAAAAAAGTGTGCAAGACAATAAGAAACACTACCTGACAAAAACAAAAAGTGAAGTTTTGTTGAAATCTGTTGAAAAATTTAGGAAATCCGATCCCATATATAAACGAACACACACACAAACAACCTGGGTTTTATAATAAGTATAACTCGATATGAGTTGCCCTTCTTTCATTCTAGCGACAGTGATGTCTCTTAATCATGTTTTCAAATTGATTTTGTGCAAAAACAATTGTATTTTTCCGATTTTTGGCACTGTCAGAACCACCGCAAGGTAATTTTACATAGTCCTGTGAAGTTTTGTTGAAATCGGTTGAAAAATGTGAGAAATCCGATCCAATATATAAACGTACAGACACACACACACACACACACACACACACACCTGGGTTTTATAATAAACCTGGGTATTTATAATATATAGAGAATATATATATATATATATATATATATATATATATATATATATATATATATATATAATATATATATATATAAATATATATATATATATATATATATATATATATATATATATATAGAATATATATATATAGATATATATATATATATATATATATATATATATATATATATATAGAATATATATATATATATATATATATATATATATATAGATATATATATATATATATATATATATATATATATATATATATATATATATATATATATATATATATATATATATATATATATATATATATATATAAAATGAAAGTGTGTTCAACTACTATGTAGTATCTTATTTCCTATAAGCCAATAACTTTTCGACATTTTCCTCATAGAGGAAGAAGAAACTTGAAATTAAAGAGATGTGGTTCCATCTATAAATGAGAAGGATACCTTTGATAAAACATGTGAGAAAGTGTTAAAAATTACAATTGTTGCAAAGTTTGTATCGTTAGATCACTTCGGACTGAATAGCGCGTTCGAACCTCACTGGGTGCCTTATACCTTCGGCCACGTGCCAATCTAAGATACGCTTTGGAAATCCTCAGGTCACATGGACGTTTTGGAAACTTGTCCTCGGAGATCAATTACGCTTGAGCAGTGAGTTCGATATACACTGGGTGCCCCGTAATTTCGGCCATGTGCTAAATCTAAGCAACGCTTAGAAAATGACCAGAACACCTCGACGTGGTGCAATGGTTAGAAAGCTGGTCTTGCTAAATCAGTTACGACTGTGTAGTGTGTTCGATCTTCACTGGGTGCCTCATAATTTCGGCCACGTTCCCTATCAAAAATACGCGGTGCAAACTTATCTTGCGAGATCAATTACGCGTGTGTAGTGAGTTCTATACTTACTCGGTGCTCCATGCTTTAGTCCTTGTGAGGTATGCTTGCTTAATCCTCTGTTTAATGCAAGAAAAGCAGTGAAAACAAAGGTGAGTAGCCGACTTAACGATTTCCTGAACGGATAGAAGAACAGGTCTACATTTGGATGGTAAAAGATTATTTAGAGCAATAAAAAAAAGGAAACTGTGGAGGGCTATTGTCGCAAACATCTTGAAGGGATTGGCACTTAGAGAAAGGAAATCTCAGCTATATATCCTTTTTTTATTACTTTTTTTTAGTTAAATCTCTTTTCCTCTATCCCTTTGTCTTACATCTTCTAAAGACAATGTTTTTAAAATCAGATTTGATTTTAATTGAAAAATCCTGATTTTTTTCCCCTTTCCAATTCGTTTCTTCGCGTTATTTTCCCTTAAGTAGTTAATCAATGTTAATTCTCTTCGTGCTGAATTTTCCTTGGCGCGTTTCATCGGACAATATACAGCCAAATAAATTTATTTCTTTCTTTTATTTTGTCCACCCCACCATCTTTTTATTTTTTTCGAGTGTTATCGCCTCTGTGCGAACTCTGGATGGAATTACGAGTTTGAGATGCAGTTACTAAGGTTATTTGCACTTGTGATAAATGTGTATACGGCAAATTGCTTCATCGCAAGAACTTATATGTTAATGCATTTGTTGGCTAAGTGGATTCATGGCGGCATTACGCGCCACTAACCCATTCGCGCCACCCTTCCCTCACGTTCTCACACGTAGATTCTATTCTGTTTTATTTTATTTATTTATTTGAGATTTAGAGATAAGTAAGAATTCGCCCCTGAGCAGTTATAATCATGAACGAAAGGGCTTATAGCTAGCTAGCTAGATAGATTGATAGATAGATAGAAAAACAGGAACATAAGATACGTATAGATATAGATAAACAGCGATAGGTAGGTGGATGTATAGTGAAATCTGAACGTTTTCACATAGGTAAATGATTTGAATATATTGAGAAAAATAGATATGAACAGATGTAGATATATAGATAAATAGCAGAATATATATATATATATATATATATATATATATATATATATATATATATATATATATATATATATATATATATATATATATATATATATATATATATATATATATATATATATAGATAGATAGATAGATAGATAGATAGTAGAATATATATATACATAGATAAACATGTATATATATATATATATAGAGAGAGAGATAGATAGATAGATCGATAGATAGATAGATAGATAGATAGATAGATAGATAGCAAGGAGAAGATATATAGAGAAAGACAGACAGGTAAAAAGATAGATAGATAGATAGATAGATAGATAGATAGATAGATAGATAGAAAGGAGAAGATATATATAGAAAGACAGACAGGTAAAAAGATAGATAGATAGATAGATAGATAGATAGATAGATAGATAGATAGATAGATATGAGCAGATATAAATATAGACAAACAGTAGTAGGTGGATATATAGGGAAAAACGTTCAGATAGGTAAATGATTTGAACATATTGAAAAAATAGATATGAACACATATAGATAGATAGATAGATAGATATATAGGAAAAAATACTAAGATACGAATATATTGAGATAGATATGAATATTTTGAGATGATGAACATACTTAGGTGGGAAAAAATATATAGCTATGAGAAGAAACTGAAATAAAAATTACAAAAAGACCCAAATCTGAGATTGATAGCTAGGTATATGCATACGTTGCAATGTAGATGTCAAAATAACTGGATACAAAGAAGCACATAATTTAGACTAAACGAAAACATTGTAAGAGATGAAATATATTGGTCAGCATCATCTGTCCAGCCATTGCAATTAATCTATCTATTTATCTCTCTCTCTGCATATTTACACACACATATATATATTTATATATATATTTATATATATATATATATATATATATTTATATATACGCACACACACATACATACATATATATATATACGTATATATATACACGTGTATATATATATATATATATATATATATATATGAACGCACAAAAAATGAAAAGATGGGTGGATAAGTAGATTGTGATTATTACAAACAAAGCATTGATATCCGAAGTGATTTCATTTTACGATCAATCTGATATATATATATATATATATATATATATATATATATATATATATATATATATATATATACACTTATAGAAAGAGAGAAAGAGAGGGAGAGAGAGAGAGATAGAGAGAGAGGGGGTGAGAGAGAGAGATCACCAGGAAAGTTATTATCTGATTGAGTTCAATATTTTTCAATCTTCATCCAATGCCGTCAACTCCCTCGAGTCAAAATAGATTTCTCTCCCTCCACCACGTCCTCTCATATCGCCACCCGATTTACTTTTCCGTGGAACTCGAAGCTTCAAGTATTTTTCTTTATTTTATTTTATTTATTTTTTTGGATAGTCTTTCAATCAGCCGTATGCGAATGTTCTTCAAGAATGCATTATTTTCCAGACAATCAGTGAAATTCCCATCCCTTACCAAAGTCTCAGTTTGTACCTTAAGTTGGAGGAACAAATAAAAAAAAATGAAAATAATAAATAATAAAAAAAAAATAGGCGTAACAATAAAAATAGAAGAGAATATAAGATGAAAATATATAAAAAAAAGCATTTCATCATGGTTTGTCCAAAGATGGTGTCTGACTGTTTTAGAGCTGGAAGTTGCTGCGAAAAGGCGGTAAAATGCTTCATATAATTACCCAAACGAATTGTGTCGCTTGTCGCAGATACTTGAATCACTTCGACTATAGCAAGAAAAAAAGGCAATTACAAGTTCCTAAATTAATGTATAAATTCTGTTTTTTGAAGTTTGCCAAATTTTATGATGTCTAAATATAAACGCCGATATAAAATATCGGCGTTTATATTTATATATATATATATCGGCGATATATTTATATATCGGCGTTTGTTGTCACGCATAAAATCACTCAGGAAGTTGATCCGGTTGTCTAACGAAGTAACCTCCTTTATATATATATATATATATATATATATATATATATATATATATATATATATATATATATAAAATGACTTATTCCTGACGCTTTTTCTAGGTAAATTTTCTTTCAATATATTGTTACTCATAAGCCCAATGAAGATGATTATAATGAAACAATATCGAGTATCTGTCTATATTTCTGAGATGAGGAGTTATGTACACTATTTACATTATTCGGATTATTGTCCTCATCTTTGTTGCCATATTTATCGCAACGTTTAGGCCGCAGTACGCTTTTTTATGTGTTTGGAATGTCGAACTAAACCCTTTATTTTGCTCACAGGGGTAGACTGTTCAAATTCCACGTGCCATGTTTAATGGATGTCAGTTATCAGTTATCTCCTGTTAATTCCCCTCTCTAAGTTCTCCACCGCCTTAACCAGGTATTGAACTCACACTCTTTGGGCCCTGTCACTGGATGAAACTACCGCCTTTATCCTCTGTGCCATGTGTCCTTAGTTAGATCCACTGACAGGACCCAAAGAGTGTGAGTTCAATACCCGGTTAAAGCAGTGGAGAACTTGGAGAGGGGAATTAACAGGAGATAAGTGATAACTGACATCCATTAGACATGGCACGTGGAACTAGAACAGTCTACTCCAGGGAGTGAAATAAAGGGTTCAGTTCGATATTCCAACCACCTGAAGAAGGCCACAGCGCACAACAGCCGAGACGTTGTGATAAATATGGCAACAAAGATGAGAACAATAGTCCGAATAATGTAAATAGTGTACAATATGGATTAATCGTACTGTGTGAGTACAAATTGGGAAAAAGAAACATTTTTGTATCGAATTATATGCGATGAGAAATGGATACTCTTTGACAACAGCAAGAGAGTAGGCAAATGGTTAGATGCAAGTGAATCACAAAAAAAAAAAAAAAAATAATACCCAAAACCTCAACTGCACACTAACAATTCTTACGTTATGGTGGTCTTTTAAAGGGGTTATTCAATGTTTATTCTTGCCTCGAGGGAAAATAATAACAGCAACCGTGTATTGTAGAGAAACTGAGTGGATGCACGAAAAATATCCTAGACTTGTGAATAAGGATGGACCAATTTTACTGCACGACAACGAAAGGCCGCATCCTTCTCAATCAATTATCCAAAAGCTGCATAGCCTGAATTATGAAGTTTTGCCTCATCCTCTATATTCACCTGATATCTCTTCTACTGATTATCATATTTAAGCATTTTGAGATTGAATAAGGAAGAAGTAATCAAAGACGATAAAATGCTTCATACAATTACCCCCCAAAATGTTTATCACATCAAAGGCTGATAATTTATCTTAAAGATGGAATCATAATTTAGAGGTATTTTTTAGAACAGGCATTCCGCAACATGGTGCCTATTTCAACTAAATAAATTAGTTATCTAACATCTCCTTAATGTTTATTTTACAAGAAAGTATTGCTGTGCCATCACGATGTTCTCATGCTAAAGTATCTGGACGTCTACCGAGAGACATCCATGCCTGTCCTTCTGCACAAATGTATTATCAGGGCGATTATTCTCCAAGCACTTGTCAGTCAAGAGGGCCGTATCCCACATGAACCTCACTTTCCAACATTTCCCAACACTTAGAGAAGATAAAGATTTAAGAATATATATATATATATATATATATATATATATATATATATATATATATATATATAAATAACCATTTAGTTTCAACACGTCTCGTGTCTTATCAAGGATGGTGTTCAAAGCAGAATAAAAGCCTTTAAAAGGACCTTTTTAAAACCCTTTATTCTACTTTCAACATCATCACTTGATGAGACACCAGAAGTTTTGAAACAAATGTCTATTTTTGTAGTGATTTTATAACATATTTATGTTATAAGTTTAGAATAAATAATTATATTTTCTCTAATCTGTATTGAGCAGTCTTTTAAGTATAGTATTTTTTGATTATTGGAATTTATTCCATATACACCAATCCTATACTTGGATATATATATATATATATATATATATATATATATATATATATATATATATATATTATTAATTTACCTATAGAGTTCTTTTCCTATTTTCTATATATTTTACACACACACACACACACACACACACACACACACACACACACACACATATATATATATATTATAATATTTTTATTATAATATTTTTATTATAATAAATTACAATAAAACATGTTACATCCTACACAAAAGCTTTCATGTTTCAATTCTGAGATGGTACCTCATCAGGCGATGGTAGAAAACTAATCATAAAAATGATTTATAAGGGAACTTTAAAAAACAAATCATTACCTGTGTTCGTAAATTAAAGTAGGCGCATAAGGTCAGGATTGGAATATACTTATGGGTATGTCTAGATTAACCAATGAACGTCACGTCTACGCTAACATAAAAAATTAATAAATAGAAAAAAAAATTAAAAATAAAATATTAAAAATAATTAGAAAACTGTAAATCATTATACGATCCATGTCACGTATGTTTACAAGACAAATTCTATATTATCAAATTTCCCAACAATAAAATACTGTTAAATCAAAGAAACGAAATAACGGTTCCATGCCATCATTGTGTACCCTTCACCTTAAAAAATAGGTAAAAATATTTAAAAATTACGTATTATAATTGTTTAACCATTATTTTATTAGTTTATACTGCTCTACACAACATTTATTTGTTTTATTTAACTATAATATTGCTATTTTTACCGTCTATTTAGTATAATTAACAACTTATATAAATGTTTCCATATTTTTTAATTTTATCCAAAGGCACCTTTTAAAAGATTTCTGAGTATTTAAAAAAAAAAACAAAAAAAAAACAAACTCCGTTGCCGATAAATTTATGTCTACTTCAACAAATTGCCAAATCATATTTGGATACACTAATATTACATTTTGTTATGGAGTGATTTCACAGTGGGGGCTTGTATTTGTTCTAAGTCGGTCCTAAAATAGGTTCGACGTACTAAACGTTAGGGACTTTATATAATAGGTATGACGCAGAGAAATCTATTGGTGGTCGCTGATACTTTAGTATTCGACTAACTGTCGTCCGTCATCGACTGACTGACCGAACCACAGAGCGACGGTATTTAGTCACCACCCTCCACGAGGGCATCATGTGACACAAGGCCTGTTTAACGTGGGATCTCCGAGCCCGTGATCTCGACCAAAAATATGCCCTTTTGAACCCGTATAAACGGGTTCAGGGTCGGTTTACTTCCCCGAAAGAGAATCCGCCCTTCGGCGTAGCCTCGTTCGGGTTCCACCCCGCCCGAAGGAAGAGAGTTCAGCCGGTCGTCCGACTTCAGACTGAACTCAGACCGAACCACTGAGCGACTGACTCGTTACTCTTACTACTTCTACTTATTATAGGTGGAGAGTCTATTAACTATAGAATAGGTGTGTTCCATTATAACACATTTGTCGCGGTAATTTTCCCTAGTATCGTTGAATGACATGTCTAAGCATCGGTTTTAAGACACATAATAATAACCTACTCACCTCCACCCCCTGACCTTAGTTTTTACATGTTAGCGTAGACGTGACGTTCATTGGTTAATCTAGACATGCTCCGAAGTATATTTCTAATCCTGACCGTATGCCCTCTAACTTACTGATTTAATGGTGAAATACCAGAAGTAGGTCATACCATCAGCTCTTGGAAGTGGTGGTGCTTTTTTGTTCATACCATTTGTCTTCGGGATTAGTCCTTTAATTATTATTTTCTCGGATGCGAACTTAATATCTGGTAATTAATGCATGGGTGGCGGGCTAGAAGCAGCAGGCATAATATTACTGGAGGCTTTCTTTGTTACCAAAGAGTACTGAACTGCTACGTGACATCTCTTCTCCTTTACAGCAGCGAATGTTGGACTGTCTCCTCGAAGATGAAAAAGAGACTTGAAGCAACGGAGGTATGGTTCTACAGAAGGATACTGAGAATATCAGTCTCTGAGAAGCGAAGAAATTTTTGGAGAGGACGGAAACAATGTGGAAGCTTATGCTTAACATCAAGAAGAGGCAGCTGACATTTCTGGAACACAATGAGAAAGGAGGGCTTGGAGAATCTGATACTCACAAGTCGAATAGAGAGAAAGAGGGACAAGAGAAAGCAACGCATGTTATACATAGCGGTCTAAAGCAAGTGGATGGCAGAACATGGCCTGGGGGAAGTAGCAAAGAGACAAAACTTATTGAGAGCTAAATGGATAGGGTGAAGTGGAGAGCCATGATCGTCTACATCCTGAAGAGACACGGCACATAAAAAGAAAAGAAATTATTCTTTGACCTTAACACGTGATTAATTTAATTTTTTTTTTTTTAGCGCCATCCTGGACGTGTTATGATGATAAAACTACTGATATATTGATAACCTTTATAAAAAATGCATTATTGATAACCTTAATAAATATGGATAACCTTAATAAATAGTACACATTCTGGTATATTATTGATAATTTTAAATAACGACGACATTTAGGAGCGTGTTGTCAATTACCAATAATGTAAATAATAGCGTGAAAAGTGACTGGGATCATTAAGAAAGCTTCCGTACTCGGCAGGTGTCCCAT